TGTCATTGTAAGTATATACACATACAACGAAATTCACAGACACCCAGAGACCAAGACACATGCACACACATAAAATCCCCCAACACTCCCCACCCACTAAAAGTCCCCCACTAAAAATACAAACATCTGCACCGCAGGCCAAGTAACATAGTCCAACTAATTATTCACTACTGGTGGTCTTTAAGCTCATTATTAATTGCAATTATAGCTCTGGGATAAAAACTATTCCTTCTTAGGCTGTTTTTAATACGCTCCCCCAAATTAGTCTGATACGTGATCCCTTCCATCAGGGAGAACATACTGAGTGGAAATGACATCGGCACACTGGGTCACACATGATGACATCACCAGACTTTAATAAATACATGTTGCAAGCTATCTTGTTATGTTACATGATGGCACCACCAATCAGAACACTTGGAAGAGAGGCAGACCCCAATGACAACCAACAAGGAAGATCCTTCCCCCACGCTCCCAAGAAATGTTAAGCATCACCAAAGCGAAAACGAAAACCTAACAAAGCATACCGGATGCTTTGAAATATATTTGCAAACCTGAAACTAGTAGAAGACTAGAGCACACCAAAGTATCACAAAGAGGCACCATTCCTTGGAAAAGTGCAATGAAGAACATTCAACAGCCTCTCTCCTCACATTGCTCCACCACAAAAACATTTCCTAACCTTCAACACATGAAGATCTGTTTTGTTGTCTTGAAAAGACTAGCAGGCTGAGAAGGTTGTTCCCTACTCTATACCCAGATAAAGCAAGAAAGTGTTGTTGGAAGTTTCACACTGTGCCCTCTAAAGCCTTGGAAGGAGAGTCCAGGAAGCTTAGTGATTTGCTTATGTGCTGGTGGGATCTTAGCTCAGTGGCAGAGCGGGCTCTTTATGTCCGGTCTTTGATTCCCTACTAGCATTGCCACTTCAAAAGATCTTAGAGGCAAAGCTAGAAATGTTATCTGCCTGAAATCCAAACTGTCCATTAGAGTCAACAACAGAAGACTCTGATGGTCATTAATCATATGGTTCCTCTCAGAGGCATTATTAAGCTTTCCTGACACTCAGTGTGGATCTGTGGATCCCAATGGATCTGTGTCCCTGAAACAGATCGTATAAATAATAGCAATGGTGATAACAATAATAATAACAGCAAGAACATCACCCAGCATTTAAATAGCTCTTTTCAGTGGACAAATCCACCTTACATGTGTAAAAAAAACCCTGTAAAAGTAGGCCTATATTATTTGCCCTCCTAGTGCAGATGTAGAAATGAAGCTGAGGCACACAGTCCAAGCAATATTTGGTTGGCCAAACATCTGGCTCATTGCTGACCACATTTTTACCCACAGCCCTAACCCAGTTCTGTCAAGGCAAATCCATATAATCCTCCTCCTCGGTGGTAGAGACCTTTTCTGTTGACCATTCTCCATCGGGTTCTTTGCTGCTTTCATCTGGAGATGAAGCTGCTTTTGGAAAATGGAAATGTCCTGGATAGCCAGGATGGTCTGTTTTATCCTCTCTTGCCTCACCGGTGCAGTGAGAAAACCAGGATTCCGGTCCTGGCATGATAAGATCTGTTGTTTCCCCTGAATGAGATGGAGGTTTGTGGCCCAAGCAGGAAGATATCTCAGGAGCTACCGCCACTGCTGTAGAGTCTGAAGAGGCATTTGCCATTTTGCTGAGGTCTCCAGAAGGTATTGTGTGTGCCTCATCTTTCATATCCCCTACTTCTGTGAGGGTCCTTTCTTTCAACATCTTTTCCATCACTTCCCATACAACCTGTTCCAGGCATCTCATAGGAGATAGCACACCGGTTGCCCCTGAGGGACTTCCTTCTCTGGGTGAAGTGTACAAGCACATCCTGGAAACAGCTTGTTGCAAACGCTGGATTAAAGAAAGACTGTTGGGGCTAGAGGGAAGATTCCAGGAATGTAGTGTTTCTGGAAGATTCCAGAACAAGGGTGTAGGTGAAATCTTCTGCACGGGCATCTTAGAGACATATGAATACAAACAGAAGAAAGCATCTGCTGTGACAGCCAGATTCTGGACTTGCTTGAACCGATCTGTGAAAGGAAGGATAGGAAATACCTGAGGAAAATTGTTGACTCAAGGTTGATTCAAATATCCACACCTTCGTGGTCTCAAACCTTCATGATGAGGATTGAAGACATGCCAGAATCCTAGGCCTCATTTGTACACATCCCTTTTAATAAACAACAACTTTATTCAGCAACCAGGCATGTCAAGAAAACTATGGAAGGAAAAGTTCTGCTAAGCAGAAAGCCCTACCTCAATTCCGTATTGGTCAGAAGGAACGTTTCAAACCATCCTACTACACCCTACTTGACTCAAATGCTTGCCATGAGTCAACCTATCAGGTTAGAAGGCCTGATGCTTGAGCATCTTCCCTAAGGGAAGATGCACCTTTATTGACTTCAGCTGGATAGCTCAGTGACTTACGCATCTGGTTGTGAAGCTAGAGGTTGGGAGTTTGATTCCCCCACTGGGCCTCCTGGGAGAAGAGCCAGCCTGAGTGACTCTTGGCAAGCTGCACAGATGCAGGGCACTCTCAGAAGAAGGGAGTATTTTCTAGGTAAGGAATTCACTGCTGAGTATTTTCTACATGAAAAACCCTTAAAAGGGTCAGCTTAAGTCAAAATTGAGTTAATGACACATAATGTAAACTTACTGAAGTGTTTCAAAATGAAGCATTTGTACTATAAAAGTATAGTAATTAAGCTTAAAAAAACTCAATTAAATGCGCTCAGACAGAAGAAAAGTCCTTCCCAAAAGATCTAAAAAGCAAGCTCATATCGGGAGATCTAGTCCTTTTGATGGCCTGGATCTAAGCTATACGGGGCTTTGTAGATCATAGCCACCATGTTGAACTGCACCTTGAGGTGTAACATTTAGCTGTTACAACAAAGAACTCTAATGGACTCCAGTTGAATGCAGTGTTCATGTACCACGAAGACTGTAAGAGGTGATCCTTGCCTTGAAGAGCACATCCCTAAAACAGTCAGTGCCCAGTACTCACTTGCTAACATCAGGCAGGGATCCTCCATCTCTATCCGTCGCACTTGGGCTCTCAGGAAGGCTTGAAAGTCGATGCCCTCAGCTTGGGATGGAACCAAGAAGAACCGAGGTGGAATCCAAGAGGTGTCCTGTGTCTCCTCTTGGATGAAGCCCAAATTGTAGAGGATGGTCTCAGCATCAACTTCACAGAGGTCCAACACCTCTGAGATACTAATGGAGAGAAATACAGGAATGTGTGAGGGTCCCAACTCATCACAACACTTTAGTTTTATTCAGTTGTTGCTGCTACTGTTACAGGGAACAACTACACACACAATAGTGACATGTAGAGGAAGATTGAAGGTTGACATACTCAGAACACATTAACAGCACAAACCTGTGTCCTACATATTTATAGGTAGACAGATGCAGTCCCACTGAGTTCAGTAAGTTATAATAGGACCCCCATCTCTGTGGGATTTGTATCCACAGTTTCACTTATTAAAAATATTGCAAGAAAAACCCCCCAGAAATGTGGACTTTCGTGATACTCTTCCCAGAACTGGCCACTAGAGGGAGCCAGAGACCATGTTATGTATGGGGTTCACTATCCACTAGTTTTTAGCATCCATGTGGGTGGTGGTGGCTGGAATTATTCTACTTTGAGATACTGTGCAGGATTGCCGCCTCAAACTTCATTCCTGCACTAATCTGCCCTTCATCTGTAGCTACACGCTCATTGAGATTGCACACATAGGCTTTTGCTTCTGTCATGGCACTCATTAGGCAGTGGAAGAATTTATTGTCTTCTCTTCCCACTCTTGCTTGCTTCAAAGAACCACAGGAAACATACATGGGATTCCCTCCTTACTCTACTTGATCCTGAAAGTTAGTGATTAGCTGAAACGCTTGCGTTAAGCTTAATGGGGGCTGTTGTGACTTGAATGGAGGCTGTCCTGGACCCTGCTTACCTGGAGCTGGTCTTGTTTGTGCTTCCCGAGATGGCACTGTAAGCCATGCTATGGTCCAGGTTGATAGGCTGGGAAGGCCAGCAGGTGCCTTTTTGGAACCTGTCATGGAAAAGTGAACACAGTGAGCTGGTTGTTCTTTGCCCTGACTCTTCATGCTCAGAAGAAAATGCTCACTAAGGTCAGGGTGGGAAACCTGTGGCTCTTCAGATACTGCTAGATGACATCTCCCATCAGCCATAGGCAGCACAATCAGTAGTGAAGGATGATGGGAATCGTGGTTCAACATCTGGAGGGACACACTTTCCCCATCCCTCTATATCTGCATCAAAGATGGCTTAGGGGCATAAGTTGGCTGGATAGCTCCGTTAGTTAGGTACCTAACTACAAACCTGGAGGTTCAGAGTTTGATTCCCCACTGTGCCTTCCAAGCGTAGAGGCAGCCTGCGTAGCCTTGAGCAAGCCACACAGTCCTGGAGCACCCCCAGAAAAAGGGACTAGTAAACTACTTCTGTGTACTCTATACCTAGAAAATCATGTCTATCTAGATGACTGACAGCATGAAATTATTTATTTAACATGGGAGAACCAAACATTAAACTATATTGTAGAGCAATTAAACTAGTAAAAATAAAGGTGTGGTACTGGAAAGATATACCACTATCAGAGTCTACTCTAAATGCAAATTGAAGGCCTGGAGATCTGATACAGTTTCATAAAAGTGGATTTATAGCAGACAATGTGGTAATAAGTTCTGTATTGTGAGAATGGTGTCAATGGATTTGGCAAGCCATATATTCAAAATTAATTTCAATGGGTTTGAGACAGAATTTTTGCAAAATACTCTTTCATTGGTATATTACATATCATAAATTAACAATTATAAATTTAAAAACATTGTTGGATACATGCTAGAGAGAGAATTCACACCATGCAGATATATTGCATGTATTTAGGTCTTGCTCGGAAAAAAAGAATTTTGGGCATGATGTCATTAACTTAATTAATGATATGTGGAGTCAGGGCTTCGTCACAGCAAGACTAGTCGGATTTCAGGAGGGTTCCTGAAACTGACGGAGACCACTCCAAACTTGGGGGGAAAGGGCTTTTACTAGGAGAAGTGAAAGTCTGAAGCAACAGAATCTGACTGAGAAGGGAGGAGGTCCAGGGGATTCCTGGATTTGCCTCTCTCTGGAGTCATATCTGAAAGCAGAAACCAACTGGCCACCATCTTTGGCACAAAGCTGTGAATGACCCAAAGACAGGGAGCAGAAAAGTACAGAAGGATTTTGGAAAATAATCTTGACCAAAACTTAAAGTAAGCAGCTTGTTTTACATATGGAACTTTTGAGGATCTAAACAATGAAGAAAGTGGGTGCAATGTGTCACAGAAAGTGATTAGATATATATCTGGTCAGACCAGCGAGCATTCCCCCACCCCCGTCATCTGAGGCTTGACAGAAAAAGAGAAAGAGAAGGAAGGAGAAAAGGGAGGGGAGAAAATGACTTTGCTTGAATTGCAGCAATAAAATTTGCTTCCACAAGACAATATAACCATAAACTACTGATGGGTTTATATTGGTGAAACAGCCAGAAAGAGTCTTAGGAAACCATTATTAACTATGGAGGCTTGAGAGAGAGAGATTGAACTGTAAATCTTTTCTGCCCCAAAACATAAGCTGCTACTGTGAATATCTACTGTGTTTACTATCTGCTGGAAAGAAGTCCAGACAATACTTTCAACAATGGAACAAGACATTCTCAAGAATATTCAAAACATCATATTTAATGGAATACAAAGATGGGTCAGCTATTTCACTGGTTCTTAACCTTGGGTTACTCAGGAGTTTTGGACTGCAACTCCCAGAAGCCTTCACCACCAGCTGTCCTGACTGGGGTTTCTGGGAGTTGCAGTTCAAAAGCATCCGAGTAACAAAGGTTAAGAACCACTGAGCTATTTGAACAAATTCAAGACGTAGGGACACAAATGGAATTTACAGTGAACAGGGGGGAAAAACAGAACTGTGACAGGAAGCTTTTTAGAACCACAAACAGAGGCAGACAATTTTATATTCAAACTACAGAAACCTCCAGGAGAAAAAGATGAAGATATAGCACTGTGGAGAGCCAAACTCTCATCCCCTCTTATGGAAATATCGGCAGTAGAAGTGCAATAAAAGAAGCGGGGCTGTGCCCTGTGGGGAAGAATGAACCACATTGGATTGGGGGCCAGTGTGGACATTGGCACCAAACCAATCCACAGTCTCCCTGTGATCACAGCATTTGTTTAGAAGCATAAAATAGTCTGTGAAGCAAGCTCCAGCAATACTGAATCGCTACAATTTAGCTTGCCAGTGTAGTTGCGGCCTCAGTCAGCGTATTATCAGTGGCTGCAAGCAATTTATTTGCAAAGTACACATAAATTTAAGGGGTAGTCGGCTATATTTTTATATGTTGAAATGAAAAAGTAAGAAATTGACATACCCGTTTGCTTTATATGAATTGCTACAGGAAGATGTAATTTTTATAATAATAATATTTTGGCGTGGGTGGGGAGAGAAACAGTGGCCTAATAGTTGTTACTTCTTCCTACAGAACCTTGTGAACTGCCATTTTCTGAGGGACCTCTAACAATGGCACTCTTATTCAACTAGACTCTCCAAGATTCCTTGCAGGAGGCATGATGTTTAAATTGATATAAAACCAGAAATTGGAGATGTTTACATACACCAGAGGCATTTACATAGATCAAAATTATTCAAACTAAATTGATTTCACAGGCAAATTAAAATAAATCATCCTCTTGCTGCCCAGTAAAATACCTCGCTCTTTAACTCCAAAAAAAAACCCTTCCCCGGAAGAAAAACCTGCACTTCCATGCAGTTGTGTAGTTCCTTTTTAAAACATGCTGACCCAATTCAAACATGGGTTTTTCCTAATTTAACCACACCCTTATTCTCAGTAGATTTGCCTAGGATTTGACTGTTAGGGTTGTTCTTAAATCTTAAATACTACTTCTAAGTACTTAAGTTTGATTTCTTTTTAAGCATTGCAATTTTAATATGAAATTTTCACACAAGTCTTTTTGAAAACATAATGTACGAATCACTTTTAAATCTCAAAATATTGCTGAACATCAGTCATATGCAAAACTAAGCATCCATCTCGTGCAGCATACCTGGATTCAGATCTGTCTTTGTGCAGCAGCAATGGGGCTGCAGAAACGAAAAAGAAAGACTCTTGTCATTGAGGAATATATTGCACATAAGCCAAGAGCATCGCACTAATAAAAACAACTCCAGTTTGAATGGCGAAGGTCTGATCTGAGAATTGATTTCTTACTTATGCACCTTGAATGTTAATTGAATGCCAATTATCTAACTTTTTTCTAGGCACTTTGTCCTTTATTGACTTTCACTAAGCAATCTTACTGTCACCATAAAGTCTAGAAACTTGCTTTCCAGCTAGTGGCAACAGTTTGTGAATGCTGAATCCTTTATCCATGACCAAAAGCCACATGTGTACAGAGGGATCCCACAGGAACAAAGTACACACAAATCTATCTAAACTCAGTAATTGCCAGCTATTGTACTGAAGTTCACTAGTGTGCCACAAGAGAACTACAGGTGTGATAAGAGAAGTAAATTAATGAAATAGTTAAAGGCTCTCTCTCTCATGGCCAGAGTATTACCGTTTCTCCACCATGCCACAAAATTCTGTTCTGTGCTGGCCTCTTTCCGGTTTACTTTCCCTGCAACAGGGCAATTCTATTTCATGGGACTGGATTGTCATTTTCAGCTCATATAAAGGAACAGCAGAACTAACTGCAGACTAGGACACATGCTGGGCCTCTGCAGGAGTCACTGATGAAGGAATACACCTAAAAGTAATCAAGGCATATACAGACTATACAGATGCTTGTAAAGATGGAAAATGCTGTAATTTGGCTGCACAGCAGGATCTGTTGGACCTGCAGAAAATCCCTGATTCTGTATGTGACATCTCCAGATAGGTCTGGACTGGAACAGCCACTGTTTGAAATGAAACCATGCTAATTCCTTGCACTACTTCTCTGCTGGTCACTTAGCAAAATTAATTCTCCTGCCGCACATCCACTGAAGTTCTCTGTTAGTGTCCAGCAGCTTACCTTCTGCTCCCAAGCTAAGGTCATCTTCAAAGCTGGTTCTGTTACTACAGGATCCTATGAAACAGAAGCACAGCAGAAACACAGTTAACCCAGGTCTCTCAGAGGGAACAGCTGAATATCTGTTAGGTCAAGTGGATTTCTCTGTGAAGCTTTACTGAAGAGCTGACTCCATGTGATGCTTCACAGACAGAGATGTAGCTCTCTCTCCCTCTCTCTCTCTCTGTGTGTGTGTGTGTGTGTGAGAGAGAGAGAGAGAGAGAGAAAGAGAGTTGCAAACTGCTCTCCCCCAAAAGTATGAGGTGCTTCTCTGCTTTTAACTGAAATCATGAAGAAAGCTGTTAAGGAGAGGACTTTCTCCACAGCACACTTTCAAAGACATGTGTACAGCTATGAATAAAAGCATGGGCAGCATGCATGTCTGAAGGAGCAGGTTGGACACTCCTACGGAAATATTAGGTAAAAGCACAAGAAAAACAAAAATTAGAGAAGACAAAAACATTGTGGCACCTTAAAGACTAACACATATTCTGGAGGCGGGGCTAGTCGCGGTGCTGCCAGCAGCTCCCGGAGAAGCTCCCAGGGAAAGCAGGAACTGCCTGGTCTGGGGATCCTTCAGAAGATGAAGGGCGAAAGGGGAGACTACGAGAAGTCTCCCTGAAGCAGTTGGTGAGCAACAAAGGAAGTTGGGCAGCAACCTGGTATTTCTTCCCTCTGAAGAAATCACCTGAGCTCAGAGTGGATGCAGGAGCCATCTTGGGCAGTTAAGCTGTGAGTAACCCACCCCCTAAAGAAAAAACAAACAGATACTGCATTGAAAACTGACAACAATAAAGTAAGTTGAAGGCTTTGATTTATGAACAGCCCCATAAAGTGGAAAGAGAAACTAGAGTGCAGAATCTTTGATCAAAAGTAGGGAAGAAGTGGCTGCTTGCTTACCAGTAACTGCTGCCTTAGAAAGCAAAACTAACTTCTAGTTTGCAGGCTGGTCAAGGCCGAGCCCTGAGAGACTGAGAGAAAAAACTGATTTTGGAAGTAATCCCATAATTTGACATAATACAACTACGGACTGGACAAAACTGTTATCAGTCAGGAAAACAGAGTGAAAAACATAATATCGTGCTGCCAGATTTCTCAACATATAGACAGAGTGCTGTCAAAATGGTTATGGCTAAAAAGTGCTATATTATATACTGGGAGAAGTACATAACATTGTGCTGCCAGATTTCTCAACCGTATAGACTGAGTGCTATCAAAACAGATATGGCTGTAAAGTGTCATGTTATATACTGGGAGAAGCTAACTCATTCCAAGGGGAGAGAGATATTGTTGCTGAAGGTGGACTGTGGAACTGGGGAAACCAGGACTGAAGTTGTTGATTGGATTTATGGATTAATGGAAAGAACATACAATGGATTATGAGGACACCTACTGCCATAAAGAAAGCAGACCGCCGGAGAATTGATGCCTTTGAATTGTGGTGCTGGAGGAGGCTCTTGAGAATCCCCTGGCCTGCAAGGAGAACAAACCTATCAGTTCTAAAGGAAATCAACCCTGAATGCTCACTTGAAGGACAGATCCTGAAGCTGAGGCTCCAGTACTTTGGCCATCTCATGAGAAGAAAAGAGTCCTTGGAAAAAACCTTGATGTTAGGAAGGTGTGATGGCAAGAGGAGAAGGGGACGACCAAGGATGAGATGGCTGGACAGTGTCTGCGAAGCAACCAACATGAACCTGACACAACTCCGGGAGGCAGTAGAAGACAGGAGGGCCTGGCGTGCTCTGGTCCATGGGGTCACGAAGAGTCGGACACGACTAAACGACTAAACACACTGGAGGAAAAGCTGAATGACAGCTGCAACACACCTCTTATATTGCCTAAGGAGCAGGTTGGATTACAAATATATCTGGTTTGTAATGTGGAAAGCCTTTTGGGACTCTGGAACATTGCACTGAAGTTGGAACTGTACAAATATTGAGGGGGGAAAGCCTGAGATTTTTCCTAGATTTGATTTGATATGTGGAAAGCTGTTTGGGATTCTGGAAAATCGTATGGAGGTTGGAACTGTACAAATATTGAGGTCTGAAAGCCTGTGATTGTTGTTAGCTTGGATTTTCTCTTTGGATTGCATAGGACTCTGGTAATAGAGGTCAAGAGACAAGATAACTCTGCTGGGCTTCTTGAGATAAAGGATAATTGTTGCCACAGTTGTATTTTAAACTGCTGGGCTAAAAGCTGATTTGCATATCATAATAACTGTGTAAGAATTGGAGGAAGAACCTGGGGAAGGGTTTTGGTTGTTGGTTAAAACAATGGAAACATCTGAAAGAGCATGTGGTATATTTGAGGGTTGGACATTCTGGTGAATGTATAACTTATACGAAGTCCATTCAGATACAGTAGGAGGAAAAATTGAGATATTGGTGCTGAAAAGATCGAAGTGGCCTACAAAAAACCAAAGCCACAAACATCTGGAACCTCTCCTGCCCAGTCTCAAAGTTTGGGAAAACTAGTGGCACAAGCACCAGACAAAGAATGGTAGACTACCATGCAAAATATACTAAAAGCAACATTTCAACAAGTAAATGAGCGTCTCAACCAAATACAGTGGTGCCTCGCATAGCGAGGTTAATCCGTTCCGGATTAACCTTCGCTATGCTGAAGCATCGCTGAACGGGGCAGCGATTTCCATTGGAACGCATTAAACATCGTTTAATGCGTTCCAAATAGGCCAAATACTCACAGTTCAGTGAAGCTTCAGGATGGCCGGCAGCCATTTTCGCGTCCTCGCCTCGCTTAACGAGGGCGCGAAAACGCTGCGCGCGGCCATTTTAGGCCATTTCCCGGCTTCCGGCGGCCATTTTGGCCGCCGAACAGCTGATCGGCGGGGGTCATTTTGCGAAGATCGGTAAGCGAAACGCTTACCGGTCTTCGCAAAGCGAATTTTTTCCTATTGAAACAACGTTGTGCGATCGCATTAGCGATCCGAAAAAACGGATCGCTATGCGAGTTAATAGTTATACGGCGCGCGCATTAAGCGAGGCACCACTGTAGCAGATCAGATGAAAGAGATGACGTTAGAGATTTCAGATGCCAAACATCAGATAGCTGAAAACAAAACTAAGACACAAGATCGCAAGGAAAAAGTGAGAGGAACAGATGCTAGAGTGAAACAAACTGAAAAAACATTAGAGGCAGTACAGAAGGATCAAGAACAAAATGATGAGAGATTAATAATGCTAGTGATGGAGAGAGCATCGAAGATGCTTAGATTTCAAAATGTGCCAGAAAAAAGAAGGGGAGGATCTAGAGATTTTAATGAGTAAAGCTTTGGCTGTGGAAATAGGGATGGAAACAACTGACTTCCATCATTATATGGAAGCAACTTTCGTGGAGAATTCAGCATATGCAAGAAGAAATAATCTCCCCATAGAAATTCACGTGAGATTTACGAAGAAATCAATTAGAGACAAGGTTTTAAGAGGCTCACAAGATAAACAATTGCTAATAGAAGACATTAATTCCCTGGCAAATGAGGCAGAGAAGGAAGCAATACTCCTCCCTTATATCTTTACTTCAACAAAATCGAATTTCATATAGATGGCTGACACCGGAAGGTTTATTCTTTTGAATTGATACACAGAGATACAATATAACTTCACTGATGAAAGCGCAAGACTTTATGGAAAAAATGAGAAGAAACTGACAAAACAGGGAGAAAGAAAGGAGGGGAAATCAGAAGAAATCAGACCACTCATCACAATCAGAATCAGACATAGAGCCAGAAAAACAGGAAGTAGCTGAGCCAAGACATACCAGAGGCATGATGAGGAAAAAACAAAAAGGTAGTAACCAACAACAAGATGGCTAAAAAACAAATGAAGATCTTTTCAGTCAATATAAATGGCCTGAATTCACCTCAAAAACGGAAAAAGACCATTTTACAACTGCAGAAACAGAAATCTAGAATCAGACATAGAGCCAGAAAAACAGGAAGTAGCTGAGCCAAGACATACCAGAGGCATGATGAGGAAAAAACAAAAAGGTAGTAACCAACAACAAGATGGCTAAAAAACAAATGAAGATCTTTTCAGTCAATATAAATGGCCTGAATTCACCTCAAAAATGGAAAAAGACCATTCTACAACTGCAGAAACAGAAATCTGATGTAATTTGTATACAAGAAACCCATATAAAAAGAGTAGATCAGAAACTGTTGGAATGTTCAAGGTTAGGAAAATTGTTTGCAGCTTTGGACATAAGTAAAAAGAAGAAAGGTATGGCTATGTATATAAAGAAAGAACTGGAACCAAAACTAATTCGTGCCTCAGATAACAAAAGGATATTAATGGTGGAAATCCAAAGAGAATCAACAAAAATGCTAATTATTAATATTTATGTTCCAATTGGACATCAAGATAATTCCTTTAAACAATTACAACTAGAACTAACAAACAAAGATTATGATCACTATTATGGGTAGGAGATTTTAATGCTGTTTTTGATAAAGAGCTAGACACAAAATCAGATAAAATAACCAAAAACAGAGACAGGAATGATTTCAAGAAATTTTCTACAATTGGCAGAAGAAGTAAGTATTATAGATGCCTGGAGGATTTGTTACCCAAAGACAAAAAACTATACTTTTTATTCTAACAGACATAAATCATGGTCAAGAATTGATGCATGTTGGATCTCAACGAGCCTAATGAAAGAATTGGAGCAAATAAATATTGTACCTAACACATTTGCAGACCATAGTCCCATTTCATTACAACTGGGTAGCAAATCAAGAGAATTTAATTGGAAGCTCAATACTTAAACTAAGATGTAACTGTTAAGTTGAAACTTGGAGGGCAATCAAATTGTAGAAAGGTGAAAAGTTGACTTGATATCACATGAACAGATTGGATGACAGTACATTTTCTGTTCTCCTTCTCCCTCTTCCCCCCCCCGTATCCCCTTCTACCTTTTGTACTCCTTATCTTATCCCTAGTTGTTAAAAATAAATAATAAATAATAAAAAGACTAACGCCAATGCTGAACTGCTAAATTTTAATGTGAGTTAGTCTTTAACTTGCCACAACATTTTTTGTCTTTTTTTCCATTGTGTTTTTGCCAGATATGCTAGCACAGACTAACAGGGCTACCTCCTCTAAAACTCATACTGAAACAAATGTGTTCATCTTAAAGGTTCCACAACACTCTTGTTTTCTTCTTGTTTCTGCTGAAACATGATTACTTCTATGGAAATTATGAGTTGTGTTGTACGTTCCACAACTCCTCAAAGACGGAGATCTTGTGACCATTACCAAGGACCAACGATTAAAAAACAAAAAAACCCAAAAACCCAGTCTAATTGCACCCAGCTTGTGTCAATAGGATTCTAGCATTGCAGTCAATACCTGGTGAAATTCCAGAAGTCAACGTGAACTTATGAATAAGAGCCCAACTAAATGGCATGTTTATCTTGTTTTCAACAGAGGTGCTTTCCCAAGTGCCAAAAGGCCTGTCACTGTATGATTTTTCTTACCTATGAATGTTGCATTTGGCATGCTTTATTTTTTTGATGGATGTTCGAAAGGTAAAGACAGGCTTAATTTGCAAGTGTGACTGCCCAGGTCCATATCTCTGAGGAAATCCCATGGTGTGAGGGGAAATGGGTTAATCTAAGAGTTTGGAGAGCCAGGGCAGAGTTGTGAATAGTTCCTTCTTATCTCCCACAATGTTAAGCGGAATAAAGTATACAAAACAGAAGGAACCAAACAAATCTTTTTCATTTGTCTAATTTATACAGGCTGCAGGAATCAACCTTCTGGGTCACAAAAGGATGCTGTCATGGTGCTTCCTCTGGGTCAGAGTTCTTTGGAAGTGCTGTCTACAGAGGCTAAAGGGCAGGGAAACGATGACTCCCAGGAAGCACTGCAACAGCTTCTTTTGTGTGTATATATATTAACAATGAAAGCAAGACAGAGACAGCCATGTAGCCTTGGACATAGTCTCTAGTCCAGGTGAGCAAAATGTAGGTGTCTGTACATATGGTTCCATGGGCTCTCAGAATTCTGCTTGGGGAATTCTGGGAGAATTCTGGGAGACATAGACTTCCACCACCATCATTTGGCCTTGTTCTGTTTAGAGGAACTTAGCAACATTTGCTTGCAGTGTGCGGGCTTGTCCTTGACGGACTGGGGATGCCAAAGCAGGCTGCCTACCTCCCATGCAAAATGTAAGAGTAGAACCCACTTACCACAGGCTGCAGGACCAGAGATGCTCTCAGAGAAGGGATCTGCTGAAGAGCTGAAAGTCAAAATAGAAAGCTCCATCATTAGAGTAAGATGATCTCTACTATTCCACCTTTTCCTGACAGCTGGAAAACTGAAGGCAACAAAGCTCCATATAGCAACCCTAGATAATTTCTACAGTGTGTGAAGAATTTGCTACTACATTTTTCTGAATTTGGTACAGCCCTTTTAAAAGTTGTCTAGAAAGTTGTGTAGAAATAGGAATCACTTACACACCACCCCTGCTGAAATTCCTTTTTCCACATAAGAATTAACAAGCTTTAGGCTTGTTTTCTTTGCCCTTGGGTTTACACTACATCCTGCTTGAAGTGTGAAAATCAATATTTTAAAATGAGCAACAGAAGTCAACTAAACAGAGAGAAGCACTCTTTATAGAGCAGGGGAAGTTGTCAAACTCAGACACAATTAACATGGCTGAGGGACAGTGTGGGTAATAGTTTTTGAAAAGAATTGCAAGAGTTCATTTCAGAGAGGGAAAAGATTTATACACCATGAGACCTGCACAACACTGGCAAATTGTTTAAGCAAGTAAACAACACCAGTTCACAGCACACAATAGATAAATAAATCCAGATCTAGAGAGTTCTGGCATGTCTCATGTGCCCGAAGTTTACAAGCACATCAACCAAAAGTTAATTAGTGAATCAGTTAATGAAATATCTTGCTTAAAAGATGACTTACAAGATACATTTTTAAAAAGACCCAGCTAAAACCCTCAATAAATGAAATAGTTAAAACTGTACTAAGTAAACAGACTAGAAATGTACAGGCAATACAGTTTACCATTTAAAATTAATTCAACTGGTTAAAAACAGCACAATAACAACAGCAAAACACCCATAATTAAAAAGTTATGACCAGTGACTTGAGGCTTGGTTAAATAAAAAAAAATCTTCATGGGCCACTGGGATATGTAATTTATAAACCGCCCATAGTGTTTCCATTAAAGAGGGTTGTAAAGAGGCAGTATAAAATTTAAATAAATAAGTTCCATTTCCTAGAGAGTAATAGACAGTTTGGGATGCACCTATCCTTTGATTTTCACAGCTTTCCAAGAAGTACAGCAAGGAGAGGTTCCAGTCTAGCCTCCCACAGAATGGAGTTCCATAGCTTGGGAGCAGCCACTGAGGAAGTCCTTTTGGTTGTCCTCACCAAAGATGCTTGTGAAAATGATGGGACACGGAGAAAAGCCTCTGGGGAGGTTCACATTGGGAGATACGTTTCTTCAGACCATGTAGACCCAAGGCATTTAGGAACTTAATCCTACTTCAATCGGACAGGAAAGAAAGGTTCTATAGTGCAATGCTTTCACTGTGGAGTAACATCTTCACACCTTGGAACAATGTGTGGATGAAAACGACTTAAAGCCAGACTTTTCTGCCCAATTCTAGTTCCCCACCTCCACCTCCATGAGTAGTGCCGCTTGCGTTTAACATCTCCCCTGATGAAGGGTTAATGTTCCCGAAAGCATGTATATTTTGGCAATTACTAGTCTATTTACACAATTTTCTCTGACTGCAAAGGCATCTCCTCAAAATGGAGCTGGTATCTGCTTTGAATTAAGCAATTACTCCCTCTTGTGGAATGTCTATGGAGATGCCTAGCATGAATATTAAGACAGTTTCATGTACAGCATTCCAAAATCCTAGATATATTAGCTTAAAGACCTATTTCCCTGGAAAGATCCTACAAATATTCTCTTTTCCCCCAGTAGTTAATATAAATGCCATCTCTCATCTTCTGTATTTCATAAGTCAATAGAGACTGCAATGTTGTCCCAGGGAATTTAGTGGGACTTGCATCCAAATAAATATGTATAAAATTGCTCTGATATTTTGCCATCAAAAACATTGACAGATTGTAATGTTCACTCCAGCAAGAATACAAGCACAAGCAGAGTACGTAACTTGAATTGGGTAAAGTGAAAGAGATGGTGATAGAGAGAGAGAGAAAGAGAGAGAGAGAATTGGGGGCAAATGTTCAGACTTCAAACCATTTTCAATGGCCAAGCAAGCTGATAGTTTCCATGAGATATTGTTCAAAAAAGTAACTTTTCAGTACTCTAGAATTAAGCTCCAGACTGGCACAGTACACGGACCAACTCCTCATGACTTCTTGGGGAACAAAACAGCCTTAGACTCAAGTCCATTTCTGACTCCCCTGGAATGACTCAAGTTGAGATGAACAACTGGCAGAAATGCTGCCAATGCTAGACATACCCTGCAGAGTTTTCCACAGATCCTAACTGCAAATATTTACTATGTCTTCAAATGCTCTGGATTACTGAAATTAGATCCTGCAACTCAACTTCATAAAAGAATGTTAAGTTGGAGGAGGAAGTAGGGTTCTCATTTCACTCTGGGGCAATTTGAGATGGTACTCTCATGGTGGGATCCAGTCCAGTCAGAATGCAAATCCCATGTCATTTTTCTGTGCCATAAAGTCACTTCCAACTTATGGTGACCCTGTGAATTAATAACTTCCTAAAGGTCCTGTCTTCAGAAGCCCTGCCCAGGTCTCACAAACTCAAGACCACACTTTCCTTCATTCAAGCAATCTCTCTCATGTTTGGTCTTTGTATTTTCCTGCTGCTTTCGACTTTTTCCAGCACTCTTGTTTGTTTCAGTGAGCTGTCTTCTCACAACATGCCCAAACTATGCTTTCTTCAGTTTCATTATTTTCCTTTTGAGACAGGGTCCAGGCTCGATTTGATCTAGAACCCTTTAGTAGAGCTCTCTTCCAATTCAACTTTTCAAATGATTAAGTCCCCCCCCCCATCAGCATTCTTTACTGTCCCACTTTCATAGTATGGATGATCTAGCCTTTCATCTCCAGTAAGATAAGCTTACTCTTTAGGATGTATTTTATGGCTGCCCTTCCAAGTTTCAATATTCCCCTGAGTTCTTGTTGCATACTCCAAAAGCCATTCAAATGTATTGCATCTGGACCAGTGGTTCCCAAACTTGGGTCCCCAGATGTTCTTGAACTACAGCTCTCAGAAATCCTGGGTAGCACAGCTAATGTTGAAGACTTTTGGGAGTTTTAGTCCAAGAACATCTGGGGACCCAAAGTTGGGGAGCAATGATCTAGAGTGTGGATGTAACAAGTTACAGCAACATCACCTTTCACCTATTACTCTTCTGGGTAAGGAGGACATAATGATTCTTATTTTTCCAGACAAAATGACTGGTAATGTGTATCATCTTTATACAGTACATTGTCTCAGGGCATTTGGGGATCCTTTTTTTAAAAATTCCCCTCTATTTTTAATGTTTATTTCTTTTAAATAGTAATTATAAGAAAGAAACCAAAGAAGAAACATTTGCTAAAGCATCACTTTGAAAATTAACCAGTAACAGAAGCACCTTTATTATAAACAGCAGCAACAGCAAGAACACGCTGAGCTCCATTATCCTCTTGCCACTGTTCTCTATGTTATTGAAACAATTGTGATGTTGGAAACAAGCCATTCTTTTGGAACTTCCTCTCTTAACGCATTGCCAAAGCAGCACTGGCCAAGGAACATAAGTCTTCATTTATTTCATTCTCAGAGGTAAGAATGAAAATTCTCTCTTTTCCCCCCTCCTCCTTCTCTCTGGGTTAAATTATGAGACTTCTTGTCCATATTTTTTATTTTTATTTTTTTTGAAATTCAGGGCTTTGTGGGGGGAAATCACCAAAGTGGATTTATATACACTCCCCCCCCCAAAAAAAAAAACCCAACTGGTGGCATTTTGTACAAACATTTGTTTCTTTGCAAAGAATGCAAGAGGTTTTAAACAGAAAACTCTTTTTCCCTGACGCCACACAGATGAAAAAAAAAACTTGTTCTTTTTTTTCCTGCTGAGCAGGAGTGAAAATCTCCTGCCTCTGTTTTCATCCAGGTATCCCAGTGTGACAATTTTCCATTGAGGGTGGCATAATTTTGAGTTCTATGCTTATTCATTCATCCATTACACAGAGAGAGAGAGAGAGAGAGAGAGAGAGGATGTGGTATGCTGCTGTCTGTTTTTGTATCGCTGGTGACACTCACATGATGTATAGTTTCCCTACACTACCATAAACTTTTCTCTGGCAAACTATCCTCGGCTCTGATAATTTTTGCAGAACATACAAGAGCCTGAGAATTGGGTGTTCCAATGTTTTAAAAATAGTGTAGCATTTCATCTTTTAATTAATGAGATGTTCTGTCAGTATCTGACTGGGAATATCGGCACCAAAGATTTCAGTCTGTTTCTAAATGGACCGTTGTGCCACATTTTCCAGCAAAGCTTTCATTTCAGCCTCAGAAGCATTTCTCCAGGTCCTTCCATCACATGGAGTAGGAACAGTAGCAAGTGGAGTTATAAGTGTTCTACTTTTAATTATTTACTATTTATTTATTCAATTTCTATACCACCCATCTGACTGATTATCAGACAACAGTGATAATAACAAAAAAAATAAACATAATTAAAAGTGAATTAAAATTTAAATTGACATTACATTTAAAAACAAGTGGCAAATAAAAATGATGAGCTGGTAACTCTCAACAGCTACTTTTGGCACGTAAGGTTTGTCACTTCAACCAGGTTCCTTATTTTCTTTCCAGCACCAAGTGAAAAACCTTTTTATTTGCTTAAGTAGGTAATTCTTAAAATTTAATCTCTCTGTCTCTCCCTCCCCTCACCCTTCTCTATGTGTATATCTAACACAAGTTTAATTTTGTTCTGTCATGTATATGTACGTATGTCTTAAATATTATTATTATTGTTTGATTTGCAAGGTTTTCTGAAAGGTTCATCCAGTTTACAATTATTCTAAATCAACAGAGATGGCATATGACCTTTTGTCCCTTGATACAAAACTCTTAGCCGTGTCCTCATTCTCACATACATACAATACTTGCTGGTCATGGCTTTTTAGTGGGATGGGGAGGTATTGACTAGGTATGTGCACTTTGGGGGATGAAAGTGCCAAACCAGAACAAATCAGGGGCCCACACACAGTTATGGG